CGGGGCGGCGGTGAGGGGCCTGCGGGGCGGTGCCTCCCCCTCGGGGCGTCCTCCGCGCTGCTGCAGCCCCGCAGGGTCCGCTGCCGGGGCGTGTCGTTTCAGTTGTGCCACCAGGTGTGTAATCCCCTGCTTTGCCAACTGTCGTTACCCTGTTTCTCTATTTTTCCCCCTTGCTTGCTTTCATTGATCTCAGGAACGATGTTAATGAAAAAAGTAACCTTTCAGCAAGAGGCAGCAAAAACACTTGTACCGAAAGCTTTATGATGGGAGCGCTCGGTCTTGCAGGTGAAGTGACTGAGGTCTTTGTGACCTGAGCTATGGAGTACAGGTGCATGGTGGCCCATTAAGACCAAACCTGAAGGATGGAGAAACGGAGTAATGGCCTGGAGGGGGGTGTTTGCTGCCATTGGTGATGGGGCCGAGTTCAGCAGACAGTGAAGTGATTTTATCTGTAAGAATTGATGCAGTAGATGGGGGATGTGTGCAGAGACTTAAGAAGTATGTGCAATTTAAATTACACAAGGACGGTATGTATGATATGAAGGACAGAGAGGAATCATCAGTGTCGTGCTTTAACCCCAGCCGGCAACAACGCCCCACACAGCCGCTTGCTCACTCCCCTCCTGTCAGGATGGGGGAGAGAATCGGAGGGGTAAAAGGGAGAAAACTCATGGGTTGAGATGAAGACAGTTTAATAGGTAAAGCAAAAGCCATGCGCACAAGCAAAGCAAAACAAGGAATTCATTCCCATCAGCAGGCAGGTGTTCAGCCATCTCCAGGAAAGCAGGGCTCCATCACATGTAACGGTTACTTGGGAAGACAAACACCATCACTCCGAATGTCCCACCCTTCCTTCTTCTTCCCCCAGCTTTATATGCTGAGCATGATGTCATACGATATGGAATAGCCGTTGGGCCAGTTTGGGTCAGCTGTCCTGGCTGTGCCCCCTCCCAGCTTCTTGTGCACCTGGCAGACCATGGGAAGCTGAAAAGTCCTTGACTAGTATGAACACTACTGAGCAGCAACCAAAACATCAGTGTGTTACCAACGTTATTCTCATCCTAAATCCAAAACACAGCACTACAGCAGCTACTAGGAAGAAAATGAACTCTATGCCAGCTGAAACCAGGACAATCAGGATCATCAGGACTGTCAAATGGAGGAGATGCTGGGTTTTTGGAAGGGATAGCATCTCCTCCAGTTGGCAATCCAGATAATAAAAATTTAAATTGTCCAGTGCTCCAGCAGTTAGTAAATAGTATGCTGAGTGGTCTCGCAATAAGTTCAATTTTTAGCATAACTGGTAAGTTTGATGGCTAGTCAAATGTTCTCGTTTCAAAGTTCGATATTGAAAAAAAAATAATTTAAAGCATAATTCCAACTTCCAGAATGTTTATAAATATAATTTACCTACTCATATGTTTTTCAGTAATACTAGCTAGGGGAGTTAAGAGTGTAACTGTGTTACAAAAGCCACTTCTAGCAGTTGCTAAGTGTCCTTGTAGAGATACCTACCCCATGATATAGGTAAGCAAAAGTTAATCGTAAAAATTAAGCTAGAAACTATCAGCAAAACAATGACCATACTGTCTAACTGAAAACAAATCTCTTTGTTTCAGATTTTCTCCCCTTTGTATGTGATGGCTGTTCAGGTGTCTTTTGGTAAGTTCATAGAATCACAGAGTATCTCAAGTTAGAAGGGACCCATAAGGATCATTGAGTCCAATTCCGTGTTCCTCGCAGGACTACCTAAAACTAAACCATATGACAAGAGCATCATCCAGACGCTTCTTGAACTCTGACAGGCTTGGTGCCCTGACCACTTCCCTGGGGAGCCTGTCCCGGTGTCTCAGTGAAGAACCTTTTCCTAATGTCCAATCTGAACTTCCCCTGATGCAGCATCCTTCCATTTCCTTGTGTCCTACCCCTGGTCACCAGAGAGAGGAGATCAGCAGCTCCCCCTCCGCTGCCCCCCCTTGAGGAAGCCATAGACTGTGATGAGGTCACCCCCCAGCCTTCTCCAAGCTGAACAAACCAAGTGACCTCAGGTGTTCCTCGCAAATGTTGCTCTCGAGGCCTTTCACCGTCTTGGTCGCCCTCCTCTGGCCACACTGTAATAGTTTTATGTCCTTCTTATACTGAGGCGCCCAAAACTGCACACAGGACTCGAGGTGGGCCTGCACCAGTGCAGTGTAGGGTGGGACAGTCACCTCCCTCGACCGGCTAGCTATGCTGTGCTTGATGCACCCCAGGACACGGTTGGCCCTTTTGGCTGCCAGGGCACACTGTTGACTCATATTCAACTTGCCATCAACCCAAACCCCCAGCTCTCCGTGGGGCTGCTCTCCAGCCTCTTGTCCCCCAATTTGTATGTGAAACCAGGATTACCCTGTCCCAGGTGGAGAATCCAGCACTTGCTCTTGTTAAATTTCATATGGTTGGTGACTGCCCAGCTCTCTAGTCTGTCCAGATCTCTCTGCAGGGCCTCTCCACCCTCGACAGAGTCCACAGCTCCTCCTAGTTTAGTATCATTGGCAAAGTTAATGTACGTTTGATTCCTGCATCCAGATCATTTATAAAAACATTAAAGAGCACTGGCCCTTAAATTGAGCCCAGCGGAACCCCACTGGTGACTGGCCACCAGCCTGATGTAACCCCATGTACTCTAACCCTCTGAGCCTGACCAGTCAGCCAATTGCTCACTCAAAGTATCATGGACTTGTCTAGCTGTGTGCTGGACATTTTATCCAGAAGGATACTGTGAGAGACAGTATCAAAAGCTTTGCTAAAATCCAAAACCACCACATCTACTGGCTTCTTTAGGTCAACTAGATGGGTGACCTTGTCATGAAAGGAAATTAAGTTGGTTTTCCTATAAGATCTCAGTGTGGCAGTTGTGTAGACCTAAACGTTGTATAAAACATTCTGTGCCTCAATTCAGGTACATTTAGTTAAAAATAATTGTTTCATTGAACATGCCACTTTTTTCCGCAAGCGGCTGTTGTGGAACTTCGAAATCAGTGGGATTATCTTGAGAATACAGGTAGGTTATTTTGGAAGGCATCTAGCTTAGACCCTGTTTTGTACTGATTTTTTTGGGAGGGGGAGGTATTTTTCCTTGTAGAAAAAAAATCTAAGTTTCTTCCAAGGTTCAGATCAGGGCCTGTACTTTGATTTACACTTCAGATTAGCAGAGGGCATCTGAAATAAACTCAGATAGAATAAGGGCAGATTTCACTTTTAACATGTTAAAGGCCTTCAAGGAATTTCTGCTGTTGTGAAAGGTGATTCAAAATCCATTAAAACAGACAAACTCCAGTTGCTTTGAGCTGAATTCTTAAGCATGCTAATGTCCTTATTCTCTTGAAATGGTTTGTTATCTTGGGGCATAAGTTCTAAGAGCTCAGTGTTTTACATACTAAGGAAGAATATGATCAATCCATTCAAGGTGTGAAATGCATAGGTTAGAAGAAATTTTGGAGATTAATTTTTCAATTGAAGTGTTCCCATGATAAAACTTGTCAGATCACTCTTTAAATACTTAAATGTTTTCATATGCAGTTTTTTTTCCCTGAAATGTTGATAACGGTGTGATATTTTCTTCTTTTGCCACAAAGCCTTCAGCACAGGAGCCGGGATGCTCATGGGTGTTCTGAGGTAATCTAAAATATATGACTACCTTAAAATTAAAATTCCGTGCAACTTAACTGTCTATTTTCAGATCAGATATATAGACATAGTATATAAGTACGAATTATTTAACTGAGAATGTGACAATCTTAAAAAAAAATGAACCTACTCATTTTCTGCCTGTCAGAAATAAATTGAGTTTGAGTAGGATGATGGTTCTTTCTGTAACACTGAGCTAAACTTAACCAGGACAAAAGTAGGAGAAAATCTCTAGTTTTGCCCATAGAATGGAGAGCTAGCACAGTTCTTTTGGAAAGCTGGGGTGGTGACTTGTATCTGTAATATCTGTTTGTTTACACAAAATATTTTGTACTAATGCTTAGGTGAATATAAGAAACAATTCTGTGAAACCAGATCAGCACAGATCTTACCCATGCTCATACAAGGACTGCAACAGAAAGGAGCTTTTGCCAGTTTTATGTCCCTACTGTGAAAAACATTTTTGTCTAAGGTGAGTGGAACAGAGTGTTGAAACATCAATACTTATTCATTATTCATTAGTGTGTGGAAAAGGTAATAAAGGTTTTACACTGTTGTTTACAGACACCGGCATCAATCAGACCATGAATGCGAGAAACTGGACACACCAAAACCTCGAATGGCTGCCACCCAGCAGCTAGTTAAACATATTATAGGCAAGTACACTGGGGTACATATTGTACAGTTTTCTTCAGAAGACTGTTTGAGCTTTGACCTCCTCTGAGGGTTCAGGTTTGACCAAATAAGAAGAAAGGATGGGGGTTCCTTGTTTAAATAGCCCTAAACTCCCATGTCAGCATGTAATACTGTTCATCTAGACTGAAACAACAGCAGAGTATGTCTATAAAGAGAATCTTCAATGTGGCTCAGGTTTCTTTCAGAATTATTGTCTTTTCTCATACTACAACTACTATAATGTAAGGAATTGTACTTAGCCATTATCATTTACATACTAATTCATGTGCAAATAATGCAATTGTATTGTATTGGGTGCACATGCCCGTCTGCTGGGATTATATCTACATAACCAACCTGGCAAAAAATGTGAGTCTACACGGTAATGTTTTGCAGCTTTTAAACAAGATCTAGGACAGGAAAGAGAATAAACAGCACTGCCTAACTGGACGGTGGGGTTATGGGTAGACAGGAGGACCTGAAACTGTTGCCATATGAATGCTGTGATGGCCACAGGTGTAGGAACTTAGGAATTCGTATCTATTTGGCGTTTGCAACCTGTGTTTACCTCATGACAGTGTTCATCTACATGAAAGGAAAGGGAACTTTGGAGATACAATGGGGCCCAATAGGCTAATTCAAGATATGTTCAAGAGACAGTGACTCATCACACTAACGGGAATAAAATTGTTCTCAGATTCTAAAAAAAATGAGGAAGAAAAAAGCAAAAAACGTAAAGGAGCGAAAACCAATGAGACAGCAGCAAAAGTGGCATTAATGAAACTGAAAATGCACGCGTGTGGGGACAAGTCCTTGCCTCAGGTCAGTCATGTTTATTTTCAATAACTGAATTCTCAAAGGAAATGGGAAGTTTTCTAAATTTCTTGTTCTTCATCTAGTTCCCTCAGTTTGGTTTTCGATTTAATTCTTCAAGCCCACAATCATTTATACATCTATTTCAGCCAGTACCCAAAAACAATCTCGCTAGTCTTATGTCTGTTATAAGGTATCTGTGTAGAGTTCGAAGCAGTCAGGTCATTATTTTATAGCAGAAATGTATTTGCCTGTCATACGGCTGTCACCCAACACTGCGAGGATAGACAGGTTCTTTTGGGGATCCTTGGTGGAATGATGACGGCACTAAGTTGTAGTTACAATTAAAGCTTTATTATTTTAACAGAATTTGATTATCAGCATAGCATAGAATTTTTTAATCAGAGTTGCACAGGATTTTTATAATCAGAATCAGTGCAGCACAATTTTACAAGTAGTGTAGCACAGAATTTTATAGCACAGCTTAGCTTATGCTTCCTAATCACCTGGACCCTCTGCAGATTGCGTCAAATCTTAATACCTGGCTTGCAGTATCAATATCACAGTCATCATCTAGACTCGAAACATGTAAAAGAATACGAGTCAGTCACTCAGTCCTCGGAGGAGGCAGAGGATGGTGGAGGCATCCCTGGCCACCGGGGGATGACGGGTTTTGTGTTCCAGCAGCAGTTCTGGTCCGGGTCCCACTTAGGGCTTGTAACTAACTGCTTGATTTTATGGACAGAGCTCTGTGTGTTGCTAGGCTTCCCTGTTCTGTGACGGTGTCGTCACCACCAGGTTGGCCTGGTGCCTGGGACCTTCAAGGCTGGTAAGGAGGGGAGTAGTCGGCCTGGCGCCCAGGGACCTTGAGACCAGTAGGGAGGGGGAGAAGTAGTCTTCCTGGTGCGCAGGACCTTCAGGGCCATCAGGAGGAGGGGAGAGGGGACTGATAAGTGACCAGCTTGGTCACAGAGAATGGCTGTTTGCCATTTAAGATGGTGTTAGTTATGCTAACCGTATTACCAGGGGTCAGGAGCAGGGGCTACCGGTCACACCCCACCCCTTGACACCATCATGAACAGGGAAGGATGCCAGTGGTGGTGGTACCATCACCTCTTGCCCACAGCCTACAGCTTAGCAACAGGTTCATAAAGAGGACTCCACGGCAGCAATGGGCCATGTATTATCTGAAGGCTGCTCATCCGAGGGGTGAGGAGAGCATAAAAACATTGGGTTTAGCAATTGATATGCATAAAGATTTAAAGTAAGATATAGCACAAAATAACATAATTCCAACAGCTATAACAAGAGTTAACATTAACAAAATGTGACGGACCCATGTTCCGAAGTCAGGTAGCCAGGACCACAGCCAAAACCAGTCAGCGGGTAGACCTTCTGACAAGAGTTGCTCTCGAGATATTTGGTGAAAAGTACAAACATGTCATTGAATGATGTTTATATCATATTTGATTTGTTTAGATTTGTTAGTATAAAAACAACAAGTGGTGTTTAACAGTATACATATACTTCCTTGTGACGCTAAAAGATAATCTAAGGCCCAGTGATTTTGAATTGCTAATTGTGAAAGCGAACTGATTTCTGATTGCAAACATTTTTTAAAGCATCTACAGTAGCACTTTGGACAATTTCAAGTGTAGCGGAAATCTTCACAATAGCTCTTTCCAGCTCATCAATACTGAAACTTGGAAACAATGCATGCATAAATCGATGGAATTTTGTCGTTCTTTATACCAAGGGATTGATCACAACACACTTAATCGCATACAGGGTAATGGTTGTGTAAAAAGGTAGAAGTTAATTTTTTTTAATTGAAATGCATAAGGAACAAGACACGATGTGGTACAAGTACCTGTCTGTTGTGGTGGCAGGCTTATAGGCATTTGTGCCACAGAGCCAGAACCATCCGGATGCTGGAATGGTGGGCCACTGATTTGGTACTGTAAAATTTCTAGGGAAACATTCCTCACACCATTGATGAACCTCTTTTTCATGGCCACGATGATCAAATGTAAGCAGGCGAGTGTGGCTCATTCAAATGGTGTGAAAAGGGTTGGTGTATATACAGCCAGAGGTGTTATTCCAGTTACCGATGGTCCAGTTGTCGTTAGTTCTTAACCAACCATTACTCTGTAGAGTGTAGAATTAGGACAAGTGAGATTATAGTATCTTTGGCAAAATTTGCCATTAACAGTCCATGTGAGATTCCAGGGTGGTGAAATATTTAAAACAGTATTATTTGTAATCACTGATTTGTTTTTACAGATGCATGTGGTTCTTAAATTGGATTCATTACAAAAGTCTGGTTCAATTATAGTGTATCAGCTGAAACCGAGTTTGTGTCCGATTGTAGAGCTGGGTATAATCACAATTGCTTGTTTTTCCCCACCCAGGTTGAATTTGTATGTTGGGGATTTGCAGTGCACCACGGGGTCTTATCATAAGAATGTGCCTTACAAGGTTGAGTTTGATCATTTGGAGAGCTGGGGAGTGAGTATGCCAGCTTCAGTTGGTACCAAGATGTTTCAGGAACAGGTTCATCAACCCACTCAGAATTAGCATCTGAAGACTGGGGGTGATATAAACAATACCAACAGTTTTATTCATTACCCATTTAAGAAATGATGTTCATGAACTGAGCGACATGATTATCATCCCATTCTTGAAATAGAGAGGAAGAGGTACAAATAAGGATAAGTGCAATACAGTGGGTGTTGTGGTCATCTTTTTACAGCTGAGGTTTTCACGAAGATGAAGTGGTGATTCCTTGGGCGCACTCCAGGTTTGTTGAGGCCAAAGAATCTGTCCAAGTACAGTTCATTACCTGAAGCAATAAGAAATTACTCAGTCTTGGGAATTATCCAAGCCTCAGCGAAAGTTAAAGGGAGCCCCCATTTAGAAACAGTTTTCCATATGCCCTTTTCTCAGGTAGTTAGTAAAGTGACAGATATTTTAGCCATCAAAGGGTAGTTAATAAGAACAGTGTCACCCTGAGAAAAATGACATGCTGACAGTGGGGGTTTTAGATGTTTTATGGGTTGGAGAGCTCAAAATGAGCTTGTTCCACTGGGCATCCAGTGGCTGTCTGCTGGTTATTTAAGCATCAGACAGCTTCAGGTAGGGCTTTACCCCATTTTCCTGTATATAAACTTTGCCCTAGAGCTCATGTGAGTAGACCATTCCACGTCTCGACTGTGCCATTACTTTGGGGTCTGTAGGACAGGTGGAACACCCAGGCAGCTCTGTGATGTTCACACCATTCCTGGAAATTTTTTTTTTAATGAGTGCCATTGTCAGACTGCACACCAGAGGGCATGGGAGTGTCAGCAAACCATTGATTAAATCCTGCCACAGTGGTAAGACCATCAGCTTTCCGGCAAGCAAAAACTTTCCCTAAGCCTGATACTCTTTCAGCTCCAGTAAGGATATAATGCCACCCCTCGGGTGTTCGAGCGAGAGGTCCAACATAATGAATTTGGCAGGTGGACTGGGGAACTTATTTCCTACCCCCTATCCGTTTGGTCCCCAAACAGGTGACCTCCTGGCTGGGGCTCTGGCATTGTTTCTTCATCAATTGTTTCAGTAGCCCAGTTAGTGTTGCCCTGTATCCAGCTCACTGAATATCCATACCGAATATATTTAGGTTTCCTAGTCACATTTGCTGTTTTCGGGGGGCAGGGGGAGGCAGAAGGGAAGTTTCAATTTTACTTTAACAATTCAATAAGGAAGCACTGCTCCATTTACTCTAGTTACTCATATTTTCTGATGTTTCAGAGGGATAGCTCCAGGACATGATTCTTCTTTAATCATGAATGGTTGTGCTGCATATTACCAGGGGTCAGGAGCAGGGGGTACCAGTCACACACGGCAAACTCATCTCAAAGGGATGCTTTTCATGCTGGGTACCGAGAGGCTGCTGACACAAAGAGGACGCAGCTTGCACAGCTCTCTACCAGTCAGATTGAACCTGTCTCATATGAAACTGAGCTTTGTGTTCTGCAAAGCTCTATTCTTTTTTCTGCTACTCAGATTTAATAGACATTTATTACATTGCTGGATGAGGTATGAAGGGCCTGACAGCAGTTGTTCCTGCCTTTGGGTTGGAAAAGGGTTTTGACAGCCTCTTTATGTTTCTTTCAGCCTTTAATTTCTTTGATTCTTGCAGTATTTCACAGATTCTTTATTGTTTTTCACTACTTTGGCCAGTCAAAGCTGGTGTTCAAGTCTTTTCCACATATCAGAATTATGTTGGGTTTAGAAACACCTTGATTCTTTCAGCTAGGGTTTTACTTTATATCTGTACTTACGCATCCTCTTAAAAGAACTGTATTTAAATTACTTTTCACCACATTGTTATATGTTGGAGCACACCAAGTCTGTTATATTTATTTTATAATACTGAAAACATTTTATGTGGTAGTCTTATTGTTAGGTCTTATCTTAGTAAAGTACATTTAATTATTGTTTTTAAAACAATAGTTTTTAAAACTACAGCTATTCCATTACTGATTTCTCTTATGAATTTCTTTTTTTATACTTTGCCATGCTTAGAAATTAGATAACTCTGCTTAGGCAGAAGTCATAATACAAAGACTTGCTTGTAGCATTCTTCACAGATAGTACCACTTTAATAAATATCTGCTGGAGGGAAAGTGATTAATTTTAAATATTGTGGAACATAATTAAATAAATCCACCCTTAATATATATAAGAAAATTTTAAAGGTTGCTTCCTAATTCCAAAGCCAGTAAGCTCTAAAAAGTGTAGCACAAATTACCATATGCTAATTTCTCCTACTATTCATTTTCTCATTCGGATATTAATTGTTTAATCATCTAGAATAGCGGTAATTCTAACACTGGTAAATTAGGCCTGTTAACCTTCAGCACCTCTCTATTTAAATTGCTTCCCAGACTCCTTCTAGCCTTCTGCCCAGTTTGTTCCAGTTTGATGACAGTTTTTTGAATATGAAGTTTCTGGAATGCCTCTTAGGCACATTAGTTCTCTCATCACCACATAGAGAAGACTGACACATTTTTGTTGGAGATGCACAGCAAAAGGACAGAAGGCCATGGGCACAAGCTGCAACATGTGAAATTCCCATTAGATAACAGGAAGAAAAATGACAGTGAGGGTGGTCAGACTTTGGAACAAGCTGCTCTGAAAATTTGTGGAATCGACATCTTTGGGATGTTCAAAACTTGATTGACTCTGACTTGGAGCATCCTGATCTACCTTTATAGTTAGGTCCAGCTTTAAAGTTCCCCCTGCTTTGAGCATGGTTTTGGACGATGTGACACCGGAGGTCCTTCCTTAGCTTTCTTAATCTATGCTTCAGGGAAATCAGGCTCTCTTAGAAATATCTTTTCTCTGGCCTCTTTGTTCCATTAGCTTTCTGCAGATGATTGCTTCTTTTGGTGTCAGACCTGATATGAGTTACCCCTCTTGAGACTGACCAGCTTAAAACAGGATGGCCATGCTGCAAAATAACGTTAGTTATTGTGTCCCTGACTGACCGGCATTTTCTTGGATATGGCACAGAAATTCCAGGAGGCGTGTCCCATAGTTAGGGATGCAACAGTAGAATGAGCTGTTTTGTGAATTAAGTTCCAGTGAACTGCGGGAGACTGTCTCGTCATCCTCAGAACTGGAGGAGCAACTGTGGGAAGGTGCCGGGGCTCTGATAGCAGTTGAGTGATGTTAGCGTGTGTCCGTTGTGTTAGCTGTGTTACAAGTTGTGGTCATTTACATTTTAGCAAGATTCAGGCCCTGCTTCCCTTGCCCCTTTGTAATATTCCTGGATGTTAAAGATTTTCTTGTGTGTGGAGAGCACTCAAATTTTGAGGAAAATGCACAGGTTGAAATTCAGACTCAGTTTTATGAACATAGCTGGGGGAAGGGTAGTTCCATATTTTTCTAGGGAAGTCATAAATAAATCCTTTAAAAAGAAGACTTCTGTCTCGTTTGATAGTGTCTGGCTTGGACTCAGCAAGGGTGGTCTTAACTGATGTATATACCAGTCATGCTTGCTCTGTGTCTTCTGTCGAATGTCAAGAAGAAATAAACCTGAAGAAGGGATTGTCCCAATCCCGTTCAAAATCTCTCCCTTGTAGGTTACTCTTGATATTTCTTAAACAAATGTTTCAGTCTAGTCGATATAAAAGGAGGAAAAACAGGATAAAGGATTAGCTGGCTATGACCGGAATGTTGGTTTGTGAAGCAGGCGTTGCTAGTACAGTGAATTATTCTGTTTTAACCACCTTTGCATTCCAATTTGAGACATTATACTGCTGCCAAAAGCCAGCGCTGCTTATTTAAACTCATCTTTTTCTCCCCAGAACAGTCATTGTTGTCAAGTAAACCCAGGGCAGACACCTTTTCATGGCTGTCTGTATGTAACAGTCTAGCTGTGGGACTCTGGCGAAAGACGTTCTCTCCACCTTTCTGAACTTACAGTCCATCATATATGTGCCTGCAGCTGGAGGGGATTGGGCTTGATGATCTCAGTCATTTATATTCTGCAGTAAAAAGGGGCCTTGGTCCTGATGGAATAGAACAAGTTTCAGTTGGTTATTTTTGGGTTGAAATTTAAGTTTTTTACTGAAAAACTATTAGATGGTTATGACTGGAATTATGTGTTTCTTCTGTGACTAATCTTTTGTTTATTTTTCATGTTTTTCTAGACAGAAAGAATTTACTTTCAAGTATTTTTACCAAAGGGGAACAAAGAGAAAAGCAAGCCCATGTTCTTTTGCAGTAAGTGGAGTATTGGCAAAGTAGTAGATTTTGCAGCTTCCTTAGCAAGCCTTAAAAATGACAACAACAAATCAACATCCCAGGTAAATCAGTAATAACAACAAACATTTTCCAGGTTGTTGGGTTTTGATTTTGTTTTTTTTTTTACCCTTTGTTTCCTGCCCCACCCCACTTCCTGCATCTCAGATCGGCGAATCCTGATGTTAATTTCTGTGCTATTTGTCTTACAGAAGCTGAGGTTGTGCCATGCTGCCTCTGGAGAAGCCTTGCCATTTGAGCACACATTGGAGACATGGCTATCTGATAAAGACTGTCCATTGTACAATGGTGGAAATATAATTTTGGAGTATCTTGATAACGATGTTCTATTTATAGAAGATACAGAGTCGTATTTTAGTTAATTGGTAAATTGTCACAAACAAAAAAAATTGAAGATTTTTGTAGAAGTGTGGTATTCAAACCAAGTCCAGTTTTCTTTTAAAATCACTGGTATGCCAGAATCTGTCCTCAGTTGTAAAGACACAGTTCCCATCAGTTTCTCAATTGCTTGACTGACAGAAGAACTATGTCCTGAAAGGAAAATTAGTTATTATAATAACTAATATTACAGATATTCACTTTCTAGAATAAATTCTTGCTTTATTTAGCTGTATGATGTCAATAATGTTTTCTTAAACTGTATATTTATTTTTGTGTAAGTGATGGGAGAAGTCTATTAAAATCAATAAATAACAAAAATGTAAAAACTTGCAGTGTATCAGTTCTTTGAAGGAAAGAAACAGATGACACTATTGCAACATCTTTTCTACATCTACAAGAACAGATTTCATTGAGTTTGGAATCCAGCACTGTCCATGCCCCAGCTCCACATTTTCTTCTCTCCTCGTAATAGCGTAACAGTGTCTAGAAGGAAGGCTTTCTGAAGCAAAAGTAAATTCACACAGATGTTTTTCTTGTGTTTGTAGATCTCAGCATCATTGTGTGATTAGGTGGGGGATAAAAACAGAACTTGAAATTATGCTTTTCTAATTCTTGTGTAAAAGAGGAAGAAATATGGTAAGAGAGGAAGAAGTACAGTTCAACTAGGAGCATAGCATTCAACAGCTTGTACTTTCATCCTGGCATTTCCAACCTTAGGTAAATCTCTGTTGTTTCCTCTTCAGCACTCTGCAAGATGGACTTACTAAGTTTTAAAGTGGTTGTTTACAGTGATTGTACATAAAGAAGTTATACCTCCGGGTGCCTAAGTATGACCTATAGAATTAACGGCTTTCTCAATTGTCAGTGTCTTGAAATTGTTTGGTGCTCATTAGGAAGATTGTTCAGAATATCAGTAGTTGATGTACTCCAGTTTTTGGATCTCTTTTAGTAGATTTCAAAGCTGGATTGTAAATTCAAAGCAAATATAGCAAGGAGGAACCACAAGATTATTTTTATCACAGTTATAGCTATTTTGAATTACTGAAACATAAAAACATGTAATGTTGCACGCAAATATTAGGGCCAGCACTTTCCGAACCGTAAGTTCTGATGTATAACCAAGGAGCCTCGCTTCATCTTGGAACAGGCCTGTTACAACCTAAACTCCTTCTGCAGGGGTCTTGAGCCTGTCTCTATGTAAGCTAGAGGAGCAGAACCCTTTCAAGACTAATCCCTCCAGTTTGTTTTCATCTGTTTACGATTATTCAGGCAACGTTTTCCAGTTGGGAGGAGCTGGAAAGGCAATCCGACAATGTATGAACAGGTGTAAACGGAGCAGTGGAAAGCACAAGCCTAGGCTCCATTTGCAAAGCTGTAGTGTGTTTCTGCTGCTCCGTGGCGCTGTGCAGCGTGAGCGAACTGCTGGGGCAAACTTGTTCCTCGGATGCTAAATAGGCTAGCGAGATTTTCAGCTGCAATCAGCTGCAGCGTGTAAGGTGTGATCCATTGCTACTGCAGTGACCTAGTGGCTTGTGATTAGGGTGCAGTGTTCAGACAGAGGAGGAGAAATCTCTGCCTCCCACAGCCTGACTCACGGTGAGATCAACAAGTTTGGAAAGAGAAGAGCTACCTTTCTTTTTCAGACACGGGGCATTTTCTTTCAGGCAGCTCTTTTCGTGTGCTGTTCTCATCTTCACAAGGTTGTTCCAGCTTGTACGTGTTACATACTCGGTAATGCCCGGAGGTGTAACTGGGCTACAGGGAGACTGAAGGTCTACATTGTTCAAAAATGTCAACATGATGCATTTCAGGGACGTTGTCCTGCCATCGCAGTGCATATATAGAAGTGGGGAGTCACTCTATGGGGAGGGCAGGGGACATAAGGCTAAGGAATATTGCTAGTCCTGTGAGAAATGGAGTTTTGGTTCGGAGAGCTGACATGAGGCAGAGAGGTGCACTCAGACCTGCGAGTGGTTACCCGGGCATTCACAAATCTGGATTTGGTGTTTTGGCTCATTCAGTTACCGCATTCGCTAACTGAGGAAAACTGTCCAGGTTTTTCTCTACTATGCGCTTGCCTAAAGGGAACCATCGTCCACTGACTATAATGCTAGATTCTCGTTCATTTGTACTGGTTTGAAAACAAGAGATAGCCATGCATTACATAGCCATTCTAGGCACGGCTGCAATAAAAAAAAAAAAAACAAAACAAAAACCACAACGTAAGAGGAGTCTGCCTAGCGTCTTTTTCGAAGGTGCTCTCCATTGGCAAAACAGTAATGTGGTCTTGTTCAAGTGGCTGCAAAGTATCATTGTTGTCAGTACTACTGAGTAGTATACCTTTATAACAACTTAGGAATATCTGTAGGATTATTATATATTGATTGGACTTGCATAAAAACCAAAACCATCTCAGTAAGCGTGTCACTGTTAATTGTTCTTGTTTTGCTTTACAGTACTCTTTACCGTAGTTTTAACATGACTTAGGTATTGATAAATTATTTTACTGGATGTGGTGTGGATGTCACAAAAAGGAGGGTGCTTCTGGTTTCCGTGAAGGAAAGGGTCTTCAGTGGCTGAATGTTTTGGAAATCTTTGTTTCCTGGCAGCGGGAAGTATACGTGCTTTCCTCCACTTTCCCCCGCCTGTCTCTCCAGCTGTTTGTCATCTCCCTTTCCAGCGCAAGAGGAACAGTTCCCTTTTCCCCTGTTATTTCTTTTCCTCCCTTTCCTCTGCAATTCTTATTCACCTTTCTTTGCATCTTAGGCTGCTGTGGTAAAGAATACGCAGTAAGAGGCCAACCATCATTGTGGGAGAAGCGAGTCGGAGAAGAGCTCCAAACTGAACTCGCTCCCCCTGCTGTTGTTACCGAAGCAAGTGGAAAACGCTGCTACAGAACAGGCTTATTTTTTTTTTCAGCAGAAAATCCTCATTCTCTCCTTATCCCTTCCTTCTGCCCCCGATTTTTCTGCCCTAGCGGTTGCAGGGAAAATAATTAAAATAACTTTTGTTGTGGATAGAGAGAAGATAGACTTGGGATGCAGGAAGTAAATCTTTGGGGAGATCTCAAAGGTTTTACCAGGAAGGTTGCTTTCATCAAGCGCCAGTTATTGCTAAGGGCTAGCAGCCTGTAAATGACAGTACAAATACAGCAAGTCACAGTTGATAAGACTCGAAAAAGTTTTCACATTCACTTTCATCTTATTCCAGGAATGTGTCTGTGATTGTATATAGAAGCTCATTCCACTTAGTTTTCAGAAACTGAGAAGCAAAACCAAATTAAGCTAGTCTGACAGATAAATAATTGAGGAGAGGTGAAAACTCTGTCCTAATCATCGACTCTAGGAACCAAAGCAGAAACTTTCCCAGAGCTTCAGTATCTTGCCTAGGCTAGAATTGCTCACATTTTAGCTGTTTAGACTCTAGCATATCTTTGCTTAGCATATACAATTTTTTGCTTTTCTAAAGCTTATTATCTTAGCACATTTTCATAGGGAAAGTTAAACAACTGGATTTGGAAGAAAAAAAAAAACCAAAAAACATATCAGAGGAGACATTTGAAACCATTGTTACTTTCACAGGCTTGTGTTTAGAAGTTGCTGAACTGTTTCACTTCAAAGCTAATAAATAAAATGTTAAACTCACTTCTAATAGATGGAAAGAAAATGTATGCAAAGTTACTTAACTGAGTCAAAAGAAGTACCTAATGATTTTATAATAAACAGTACTTTCAGCAAAACTATTAAAAGAGGTGAATATCAAGCTTTCCTGGTTGCTGTATCTGTATAGTAATTTTAGAGAATGCACAAGGTCAAGGCTTTGCAAACATTTTACCACTGAGAATGCTCTTGGTAGCAGCTCCTGGCCTTGTTCCAGTTCAAATACTGCTACAAAATTGCCCGGCATATATTTGTGATATACATAACACAGTTTGGAAAGGGTTACATTGACATCAAAAGATCAATTTTGCTTGAATATGTGACTTGTTAGATCAGCTGGGCAATGCTACAGCAAACAAGAAATAATACACCACACTAGGAAAGCAGGCAGTAATCTTCATACTTTTATTTTCACCATTTTCCTTTTGTGTGTCTGTTTTAGAAAGTATGTGTCCTGGAGTGTGATCAGTCTGGCTTGAGGGCTTTTATCAATACATCACCTCTGTTCATCTTGCTTATCAGGTGTCACATAAAAATAGGCCTCCTTGCAGCTCAGTTCTCCTCATACATGAAATACAAAATTCACCTCTTAACATGAAATACAAAATTTCCTTTCAGCTGGAATGGAAATTGCAGTTTGGATTAGGGAAATTCTTACACTTCTGAGGAGAGAATTTCAGGCATTTCTCTTTGTTTTACTTCTGCTGATTTTAGGATCAATGCAGAATTTAAAATCCCCTTATAAAACCTGTAAAACACTTGCTATAATGTTAAGTGTACTATGAACGATGTCAAAGAAGCTATTTTCCATAATACTGGTGCATTCCAACATAGCTTGTACTGAGGCATGTTTGGCAGCTTGCCTCAAAAACTGAATCAGAGCCAAAGTGCCTCTTTCAATTGGCTGTATGCTTTTATTATAACCTTGTAAAGAATGACTTGCAAAATAATTAATAAAACCACACCTTATCATCTCTGCAGTTTTTTAATGACTGTGAATACTTTAAAAAGCAGGCTTATATCACTATTCCTGTTTACGAAATGGGAAGGAGGAAACATGAAAAGGCACAGTGACTTGTCCCCCACAGCAGCACCGCTGGGAATGGAAACCATACCTTCACTGATGTGGAAAGGACAAAACTACCCCCGTTCAGCCTCAAAAAAGTGCCTAGTTGTGGGCTGGATTGGCATTGAGGAAACGGGGTAAGGCTGCTAATTTTGGTGCTGCAGACATTTTATGATCATTTTAAGTCATAAAGCAAACTACAACCCCTGTCCTGGTTACAGTAGATCATCATTTTACATATGACAGTAAATTACATCAGTTGCAATTTGTGAACACAAGACAACACCTCAGTGTTTTACCTTTACTTGATGAAAGATCATAGGGTCAAAAGACCACAGAAAAACCATGACACTGGTATCAGTCAGCCTTGGAAAGGAAGGCTTTTTTCCCTCTGTACAACGTTAATTATAGTACTCTTGAAAGTGCATCATTGAAACTGCAAATCGTTTTCAAAAATCGTTTGAAAGCTACGGAGTTTTCTGGAAAATGTGTTTACTGTATATTTTAAAAACATCAGTTGACTGGGGTTACTGATTTGGTATTATTCTAATCAGCAGAACTGTCAGCAGGAGGAGCTAGCGAGGGGGCAAAGGAAGCTGTTTCACGGGTTTTGACACTTTTTGAGGAAAAAATCAAGACGTAATGGAGAAGACCACATCTGTAAGAAACTTGCTCGGTTTACTGTTTTTAAGCACTGTAACCTGAATTGATGAAATGCCGTTTTACTTCGAAGGGACTGTTACACATACATTCATCTTCTTTTTCACGGGCCTTCATACTTTTTTTTCCACACGTTGAGTAACACAGTCTCGTTTTCAACCGTGGCGCCTTCAGCAGCTAAAAGCCCGGGTGAACGCCAATCGCGTGCTCCATGGGAGAGCACTTACGGTATCTTCACCCTGCCGCGTCCAATTATTAAAAAGAAGTCGACATTAAAGGTTAATTTCAACATTTTAACTGTAATTTTGGCGAGCAGCGAAGGGCCTTTTCCTCACCACTACGCACTGCGCAGGCG